ATACTGTTGGGCGGATTGTGATATTCCTGGGAAGTTGTTGATCTCCTCATGTTTGGCATGTGTCTGAAGGTTTTCCTGCATCTGTTTTTGGTCATCTTTCCCATCACAACCTTTCGGTTCCCACCCCCAGCTTGGGTGCCAAGCCAGTGCTGTTAAGCATCTTGGGACATCCTCCCAGTTGGAAAGACGCCATATTGATATAAATTATAAATGTAAATTGTATTGTACTGTATCAATCAGACTGTAATAAAAGTCATAACATAAAATTAGATTCCTTCAATGGAATGGGGAGAGTGTCCATTTTGAATCGTGTTGTTATCTTTGATTTCTATCCTACTTTTGTTTCTTTGAATGTAATTTAAATCAAGAAATAATTTTGCATTGCTGTTTCTCTTCCCGCCCCCCACCAGTCTCCATTCCTGTCCTGAATGTCTAGGGATGACTCCCGCTGGGCACAGTTCCGTGGGTGTGCTTGGGTACCTAAGTAGTTATTATTCATGTATGAGTCGAGAAATTCAATTGCATCGCAGATGAGATCATTTTGCTACTTCTCCAATGTCCATACATGTGCCTAACCATCACAAATCACACCACTGCAATGAGGAAAGAAACTCACTGAGTTAACCCCCGTTCCCCCAAATCCTCAAGGATACTGAAGCCAATTACAATGCCACTACTGGTTCTCAGGCTGAGATCATTTGACATTGCACATGCCAGATATTGAGCCTGGTAACTACCAAGTCTATAGAACACACTGAACGGATCAAAGGTAAACGTGTATGTTTCAATGATGATTTTAATGGTCAGTTATATTTATGCTGTTTACTGTTTTAGAAATCTTCATCCGAACTGAGATGATTCCAGACAAATTTTTTAAGAACATAAATCTTGAGTATTTCCCTGCACTGTACAACATAAGCTATGGAGATGGTGTGTGGTGAGCTCGTGCCTGTAATCCCTCAAATTTCCAATCCTGGCTGCACTATTGGGGTGACGTGTTGCTCACAAGGTTTGTTGATTTGAGGATGAGTCAGATTGTGTACGTATTTTGGACCAATTACAGAGAGCATCGACAGAATGCTTGGCAATAGAAAGGATGCATATAATAGGATTAGGGGGGAAAACCAAGAACATCTTGCAAAGCTTCTAATAATATCCTTGGTACTAGAAGTTTTAGCCAACATTTTGTTCCACTGACTCATAAGATTTCTTAAAATTTTTATATTTTATTATAATCTCAAAATGGAAATGGACCAAACGTTATTCTGTTAAACACCATTTTGTTAAACTTTGTTCTTTCATCGAGTGAGACCATCCTCTCTGGACTACTAGGTTATACTACCCTTAAGGGCAATGAATGTTTGACAAGATAAGGCTGAGGTTGTCATTGATGTGTTAAAGTATGGTCCGAGTAAATATATCCTTTCATGGTCTCAATAGCTGTTGTATTTGTTTTTTCTGTGGAGCACAAGGAAGGAATGACCTTACACAGTCATTTCCCTCATCTCCTAAAGCATTTGGTCTAATAACAGGGTAACAGCAACAAAATTACTTTTGTATTGCGCCTTTCACGTCAGGAGGATGTCCCAAGACGCTTGTCATAACATGGTATTTTGGATCCATAATATTAGACATAGCATTGTAACAGTTTTGTGGAAGCTTTTTGTGGCCACATGTCCCATTTCTGGTTCACTTTTGGCTTCAAGTACAGTCTGGCTAGCTTCCTGCATTGGACTGGGCTAGTCAAAGCCAGAAGTGTTGCGGACTTCTGGTAATTGTGGATCCACAAAACACCCATGTTGTAAGTGGACTTGTGCTCTTCTGAGGTGCATTATAGTGGAGTTGTTACGTGTTCTGTGGCTGTAGATCTAGCACTGTTCAACTGGTCCTAAATTTAAACATTGTTTAGTAAATTTTAGCTGTGATAAAATGCATTTTTCTTTAGTTTAAATTCCTCTGGATGAAATAATTTAGTACACCCGAAATAATAATAATAATAGACCTTTGGTAGGATGTCAGGAGGACATTTCAAAGTGCTTCACCGGATATATTATAAAGTGCAGTGGCTGTATTTTGTAGGTGGAACAAGATGAACATCAATTCTGTTTACCGCATCCCCCCCAACAAAAAAATCTATTTTTTCAGTGTTGCCATTTCTTGACTGTAAATAAGGTTGTTCAGTGGTTGTGGCATTCTTGTTATGTTCAGTATTACCATTTGAAATGCCTGGGAATTTGCCACCTTTCCATTATAGTTTCTTATCAAGCACCTTCAGGAATCAATTGTCTCAGTATTCCTGTTCCGTTAAACTTGGTATGTTGCTGTGCCCCTGGCAATATTATTCTCTACATTTTGATTTGGTTGGATTAAGAATGATTGTTCTTTCCCTGACCTGTTACTGATCTCTTTGTATTTCAAGCCTTATGTTGCTACAACATTGAGTATACACAGTGCACTGCAAATAAGTTTATTTTTGTCCAGGTTTTTAAAAAGTATAATAGGGCTTTGATGAGGGTAAACAAGAGAGACTTTTTCCAGCAATCAGCAATGAACAAGAGGCATGAATTGAGGATTATCACCAGAGGAATGCAGAAGAATTGATTTTACACAGTGTTACGTTTTAAAAGATATGGCAAAAAAAGTGAATGATGGAAACCTGAATTGAAACAAATCCTGTGAATCCACAGAGGTTCTGAGAAAATGATTGATACTTCTTAGCAGATTGAAAACAGTGAAGTGGTTAACTCCCCCTATAGAAATTGTAATGCTCCTTGTTTTACACTTCAGACTGTGAAGTTACTGTTCCGTGGAATGCTACCCAGCTCACACCAATTACATTTTTCATCCAGCGTGTCCTAATGAACCACTGTGTGTGTGTAAAACCAAATTGTATTTTTCTTGCAGCAGTTATTAACCACACTCTGCATAACAGAAATGTATTGATTGATTCAAATGTATGTAGATTATTGTGCTGGCCCAACTTGATAATGTGCTGATAGGCAGAATTGCTTTCAAATATATAATCTATTTGATTGACACACTCCTTACAGTGAATGTTTTCTAATGGGTTTATCTGTCTGTGGGAGTCACAATAGCCTCCATTTGCCGTGATTGAGCAGAGCAAAGATGTGAAAAAGGTGGTGACAATCCTGTAAGACAGACACTGCATAGCAGTAACTGAGGAATGTGGAGGACGTACATTATTCATGACTGCTTGGAGTTTTGGGGATTTTACATTGTGCTAGAATCCATCGGTAAAAAAAAGGGCATGTGAAAAAATGGGCATGTGAAGCAATTATGATTTTTTAACAGAATATTTAACCCTTTCACTTGCATATTTTGTGCTTTGCATTATTAGATTTTCATCATTATCCAGATAGGCAAGAATATATTATGTATTGTTTTTGAGCATCCAATGTATTTAATAACTTCTAACAAACCTTTATCTGTGGGACAGCTTGTGGTCTTTCATTATAACGAGTACAACAATAATAATCAAGGTATTCGAATAAATTGGAGTATTAGATTTATCTTAAAGAACATTTTTAGTGCGACATCTAACAAGATATTGAGGGGCAAATTTTTTGTATTGATTCACTTGATTTGTTATTTTTTCTTTTTATTGGAATTCAACTTTGACATGCAAAGTGCAGCAATTTCAAACAGCATTCCATCAATATGGAAATTAAGAACTAAGGAATCCAGGAATATATCAGGCTGATTGCAGGTTCTCTGGAGTGGAGTTTCCTGCTAGTCAATGTGACGTACGTCTGCTTACCGGGAGTCTCCACTCCGATTCCTTAAAGAAAGAATTTCATTTGAACATCTCTGCTATTTCGACCCATCTGTCTTTTATAATATTTAACGTATTCAACTCCAGCACCAAAACCATCTCTTGCTGTGTAGGTGTATGGGAAGTCCTATTCGCTGTGACAGAATCATATGCTTTATACAGCTGTAGTTTGCATAGTCCACCTTGGCATTAAAACTGAAAGGAAAATGTCCTGGAAAAACTAATACATAAACTTCAGAGTGGGAAGCAATACATCGTTATCAATAGATCCACCAGATTTTCCTTTCACGCCTTTATACGTTTGAATTAATAAAAATACTAGAAATTCTAAAAACATCTTGCGTGTGAACAGTGCAGAATGGGAACTCATTGGCTCCAGGTCTGCAGTCCTAATGTCACCTGGGGTTTGTTTTCTGCAGTCAGCTGCTCCCCACTGTGTATCCTCTGTTTAAGGGAATAATCAAAGGTTCCATGTGCCGAACAGTGAATTCCTGAGACGGTTCGACTAAGCAAGGTTATTTTAGCCACAGCATGACCTGACACTTTAATCCAAGAATAATAAAAGATAAAAGATGAACTGACATAATGGAGATTACGGTCTGTTTAATAAATAATTACAGCTTGTGGTACACTAGTCCCAAAGCAGCTTGCAAACTGTGCTTCTGTCATCGACTGGCATTTGATTTAGTCTAGAAAGTCCTCTTAGATCTCACAGCCTTTTTTTTATTATTACATTTTTAAAAAGCACTCGATGTCGGTGTGGAGCCAAAAGCACCGCTGATTTAATGGTTTGATAAAATAAAAGTTGTTTCTTTTTTTAGTACCAGAAATGGTGCTTTTATATTTTTTGAGACTCGAGTACTGTGTCGAAGAGGATTATTTATGTGACTGCTTTGAGTGCGCACAGTACATGTTTGTGTGGATGTACTTGTATCAGAAATGTCTGGTATTAATATGCAGAAGATAAAGCAGATGACGTCAATGCACAGCAGTGGATTTTTTTATATAACCGTGTTCTGCGGTTAAAAATGCTTACAAAATTCAGCATTAATGATTTGTGTTTAATCTGATGTGGTCAGCTGACGGTGCCTTTCTGATTGCCGATGGTGGAAGAACCCAAAACTAGTCCCCCCTCCCCAAGAGAGATTGTTAGTCCATTCCTTTTATAGAGGTTCATTTTGGCTCTTTGTCAGCACCAGGATGCTGGCAGTGATTCTGTCATGGTTACAATAGAATGTGGTAACGAACGGCAGCTATGAAAACCCAACGGGAACGACTCAGAATACCAGGGTTGACCTTGGAGTAAGTATTTTATTTCTCTTTAATAAATGATTTGGGGGGTGAAGCCAGTTAACTGTTGCTGAGGTTGGTGCTGCTGATTTCCACTATCTCTTCGCTCTGAGGTTTTACGAAAACACATTTTGTATACATCGCAGTTATAAATAAATGCCAGTGCTGGTTCTACTCTGCAGCTCTGCAGACTGACTGTGACGAGCAGTGGCATAATCAGCATATCTATGAGGAAAGAAAAAAAACTGTGCTGGGGGGAAAAAAGTGAATCTCGCCAGCACTAGGTAAATTAATGTATCCCTATGCTACAGTCAGAGGAAACGCTGCTGCAAAGCCTGCAGTCATTTGCTGATATAAGATGCATTGCCGCTCAAAGTACCATCGTAATGCCTTAAAATCTGCGGGGGGGAGAGCACTGATGGTGTGCAACAAAATGAAATATTAAGCACCCAGTGGATGTGAAAAAGTACAGAGATAGCAACACTGTTGTAACAGTGTTTTAAAATCTAAAAGTTCGAAGTTTCTATTTGGTATTTGTTCCCATTGGTACTTTTTTTATATATGAGAAACTAATGGTGATTAATATTAAAAATATTAATATTGAAGATGTCTCAATGACCTGATAAAACGCTATATCAAATGCAAGGATTATTCTTCTTAAAAACCTACATAAATAATGGTGAATTCTGAAGATTTGATTTTGGTGAATATTATGTATTTACATTCAAAATTTCCCATTTTTAAAATTACCATTGCACTTGTAAATCAGTTTTACTTACTCTCTTCTCCCCCCCGCCCCCTCCCCCCCGTAAATTAACGGGGGCTCTCTTCTCTCTACGGCTCTCAATGCACTAGAGCAGGGGGTGGGAATGCTGATTGCAATCAGATTTAGTTTTCCTTTCCCACCTTCCATCCCCTTTTTCCCAAGGAAACCCTGCTTCAATAGTCTTGCAGAAATGGAAACTTTCCTTGGCTGGCGGAGGGTGGAAGCAAAGAAGAGAGACCCTCCACCTAATCTATGATGCAGAACGATGTCTGTATATTAACAAACTGTGCCATTAGTTTGATAAAATCCGTTCTGCAGATTTTCATTCGAATAGGAATTTAGACTCTGTTTCTCTACCAGTGCCTGAAAGGGTGGTGGAGGCCGATTCGATAACAACTTTCAAAAACCCGGTTGATGGATATTTGAGGAGGATGGGTTTGCAGGGTTATGGGGAAAGGGCTGGGGAGTGGGATTGACATTACATTGCTCTTTTCAAAGAGCAGGCACAGACTTGATGGGCCGAATGGCCTCTTTTTGTGCTGTACAATTCTATGATTCTATGAGTCAGTGGGGTCCTGGACTCTGTGTGAGCAGTGTAATTATAATTCAGATCTTTAAAGCTATTGGCATCAACAATTTCTGAATGCAAAGCTGAGCTACATGATGGAAATCAAAACTGATGTGGGAAATACCCTTTACCTGAGGAAGAGAAATCCAGCAAAACAGAAAGGGACAACCCCATTTTCCCATGAACTTTCCTTCCCATCAACCAATATGGAATTGCAGTAATCTGAGTTTTATGGAGAAGTCCTGCTTTTCCTAATTTAATGATACCAATCCTTGTACTTAATATAGTGTCTGTAACGTCTTAGCTTCACAAGTAAATGCTGTAACATGAGTTGACTGTATATTTGTAGACAAACGAAGCGGCCATTTTGCACACACCAGCAAGTGAATGATGATTTATGTATACTGTTGGTCAGGATCTTTAATGTCCATTGTAAGAAAACTGACAGGAGCTAGGTTTAACATCTCATCCAAAGCATAGTACCTCAGACAACTCACTGCTCCCTCAGAACTGTGGTGGTATGTTAGTACCCACCATCTGAGTAATTATAACCTGATGGGAACAAGGGGAAAATTATTGAACTCAGGCATTTTTTGCAGTCCACGAGGACAATGACCACTTGCACTTTTCTTTTGGTCAGCCGGGTTTCTGACAGATAAGAAATCCCATCACCATATTTAGGAGAATTCAAACCAGGCTGAGTTCCATACATGCCACCTACACATGGAAATTCCTATGTCTGGAATGGAATGTCTACTCTCTTTCCAGAGGGATGCATCTGCTCACCTAATTCTAGAAAGTGTTAGACATAGGTTGGGAAGAGCCAAGGCTTGGGGACCTCAGAAAATTGTAGCTTCAAGCCCCATTTCAGGCTTGAGCTCCTAGTTGGATGATTGCAGTATTGGAGGATCACTGCATTGTCAAGGTGTTGCCCTTTAGCTGAGATTCAAACCTATGGTCCCATCTGACCACTTTCAGATGGATGTTGACAACTCCACGCCAATATTCAAAAAGGGAAAGTGAGTTCTCATGGCTAATAATCCAATCAAATGGTTGTCACTTCTTACTGAAAGCTAATTTCACAATGATTTGTGAAGCTCTGAGACATATAGATTTTTTTTCCTGCTGGCTCAGTTGGTAGCACTCTCGCCTCTGAGTTAGAAGGTTGTGGGTTCAAGCCCCACGTTTGGACTTTGAGCTCAACGTTCAGGCTGACACTCCAGGTCGGTATTAGGAGAGTCCTGTATTGTTGGAGTTGTTGGCTTTCGGATGAGATGTTAACCGACATCTTATCTTCCTGTTCACTTGCATGTTAAAGATTCCATGATACTATTCGAAAAGAGAAGGGAGATTCACCCACTTTCCTGGACAACAATCCTGGATAAAATTGGGCATTCACTTCATGGCTGTTTGTGGGACATCACTGTGCAAAATTAGCTGCTCATTCTACAAAATACACCATCACTACACTTTACAGCATACGCTGTGAAGTGCTTTGAGGTGTTTCAACGATGTGAAAAGACCCTATACCAAATGCAAGGATTTTATTATAATATTTTGAATTGGTCTTAACTATTTAATACTTTTATATTACTATCTCTAATCGATTTCTACATTTGGACTGAAAATTGTTAAAACCTAATGTTTCCAGTACTTATTGGATTCATAGTATCAAATGGGAACTAGTTGTAAAATAGACATTTCTTTTGCAGTAAATGGATAATACAATAAAATAAATAAAGTAAGGCTAATGGTCTATTTCACAGTATTAGACCATCAGTAAAAGGAATTCATTATCACTTGAAGGTTGCTTGACATTGAACTGGCTGATTTATGGTGCTTTGTGTTCTCAATGCATTTGCTGATTGCTGTGGTTTAAAGCTGAAATACAGATTTGTGGCTCGTGATTTTCATTCACTTAACTATAAAATGTGGGACCTGAAGTGTATAATTGCTTTTTAGGCTCCCACATGAAATCTGAATCCTTGGCCTTGGAACAATTTGTACATTCTGCCAGCATGGCAAGCAACTCTGTGCTGATTTGATAGAAAACAAAGTGACTGATCTGGTATTGATCTTACCTTTTTTCCAGCGCCGATTGAACATATCATCAGCAGATAGCGATTTTTTTACTTGGATTTAATATTGCTGCACAATTTAATATTTTTTTTTACAAAAAAATCAGAATTTCCTCCTGTTTTTATTTCTTGAAACTGTACATATTCCGCTTCTCTGTGTGTAGCATAATAATTCTTGCATTTGATATAGCGGCTTATCATGTCATCGAGTGCTTTGCAGGATGTACTCTAAAGTGATGTGCTTTGTGGGCAAATATAGCAGTCAGTTTGCTCACAGCAATGATTCACAAATCCACAAATGGCCCATAGATTGAACAACTAACTCTACTTGGGGGATTGTTGGCTAGGACACTGGGAGAAACTTCCTTTTCTTTCCAGTCTTTAACGTCCACCTGGTCAGGCAGACCTTGGTTTAACGTCTCTTCTGACGAACTGCACCTCTGACAACGTAGTACAACATTGGGGTGTCAGCATATACTATATGGGTTCCAAGTCCCAACGTGGTGCTTGAATCCACAACCTTCTGATTCAAAAGTAAGAATGCTACAAGCTGAGCTGGGCTGACACCAGTCGGTTCAAAATATTGTTTTTAAATGTATAACTAACTGTCATAAATCTTAAAATTTTAACCCAGATCTAAGCAATTGGATGCCTATACCAGTAAATAGTGTTTTCTACGTATGTCGCATAAAAATGTACAAGAGAAAAATATAAAATATTATAAAATATTACACTTGGGTGATTTCCTGGGTGATGAACCATGTCCATTCTGACGGCATGGGTTGCAGCCTGCTTCCAGCCGTTTACCATTAGCTCTCTACGATTGATTGCTAGGAAATATATAGGAAGAGCACAGAAACCAAAATATGCGCTTCATAGAAGAGAGCTATTCAGCCCATTGTGGCTGAGCCATTACCACCCCTTTTCCCAAACCACCTTTTTATGGTTAATTTCACTTTCCAGCTCTTTTCTCCATCTCCTTCAATATTTTTACTGTTCAGTCCTTACTACAGTTCTCTTTTCAACAGCGCTATCGATTCAGTCAAGGTGTAAACACTTGAACATCTGAAATTGTATTCCAAACCCATTCAACATACCTACAATAAATTCCCTTTTGAAGGTGATTGATTAAATTGTGAGCAAATGTTAGATCTGATAATATTGGATCCAGAATGGGAATCTCTCCAATTTTTCTTTCTTCCATCAAAGTAGTTTCTAGCCTCAACCTACTGTTTGCACTGCTTTTCAGTGACGCGGCCAAGATTGGGAACTCACACTGTGTAGAAAACCATGGGAAACATCAACGTGTAGAGACATCAATGTGTAGAGACATCAATGTTCTCCCATTGCATGGCACAATATGGTGTACCTCAACATGCCAGATATATATTTTATTTTTAATATCTATAGCTAAGTTTATTTGGAGCTTCCATTTAATATGAGTGTCAGCCTGGCTCAGTTGGTTGCATTCTTACCTCTGAGTCAGGCGGTTGTGAGTTTAAGCCCCATTTCCCCCAATTTCAGGATTTTTAACTCAACAACAACAACTTGCACTTATATAGTGTCTTCCACACCGGGCGGCGTCTCAGAGAGCTTAACATTGGTGGAGCCCAAGGCCGAGCCAGGGTTAGGGGAAGGTGACCATAGGTGTGGTCGAAAAGGAAAGTCTTCAGGCACGACCTGAAGATGGGGAAGGAGGGGCCGAGGTTGAGGGGTTGAATTCAAACTCTAATTTGACACTCCAATACAGTGCTGCACTATTGGAGGTGGCATCCTTCATGAGACATTAAACCAAGATCCTGTCTGCCTGTTCAGGTAGATGTTTTTCATCCCATGGCATTATTCAAAAAGAAAAGAGACTTCCTCCCATTGTCCTAGGCCAACAATCCCCTGGATGAAATTGGTCATTATGTCATGACTGTTTGTGGGACACTGCTGTGTTCTGCTACAAAATACAAAGACACTAAACTTTACAGTAAATCCTGCAAAGTGCTTTAAGATGACCTTCTGATGTGCCAAGGCACTACATCAAATGTAAGGATTGTTATTAATCTATAATTCTGCATCCCTATACTACTTGGAGAAGTCTCGTGAATACAGTACAATAATTCACTCAGTAGATTGTTCTTTTCCTCACTGAAATCACTGCAATTCTTTCTCCTTTCAGTGAAAGATTTTTAAATGCAATGGCTTATAATATAACTTCCTGTAAATTCTATTATTTATTTATATCCTGATGTGATATGTCGCTGCCTTTAAAATTCACACCTTTCACTGAAAGGGGAAAGAATTGCAACAGGGTAGTAGTAGCCATTTTAGTATATCAATTTTAAGATTGTGAATTGTTAAACTTTTATTAAGTTATATTGATATTTTAAGCACTGTAGATTTTCAACTCCAGAAACTCAACAGAAATGTTTTAAAATATTTGCTAATGTTTTTATATTTGCAAATATACTACAGAATGCAGCTTTTAGCATGAAATATGCAGCAAGTGGAACATTTAAAGAGAGCACAGCCTATTAAAAGTAAACCATCCCCACATTTTGCAAAATTCAACTTGCTTTGAATGATTCATATAATTGTTAAATGATGATATGTTGCAGACATTGAGTTATGAGATAACTATTCTAATCGTGTCTTATGGCAGTGCATTCTGACTTAAATTGCTGATGAACACTAAATGTCTGTGTCCAGCTGGTAACATCATTTAACTGAGAAACATCAAATCCTACTACTCTTTTGTGTTTGCTACATCCATATACAGTACTACAGTTATGATATATGGGGAAAGGCAATCTTCTGATTTAGACTTGACATTATTTTAACTTTCAGCCTCACGCCAAGAAGCTTGAGTCCTACTCCTACAAGCCCATGCAGTCCATGCAGTCCACTCCATGCTTTCCACTTTTGGAGGTAAGGACACGATGCTCTTTTCAGGCTGCCAGAGTGAAACCCAAGCCAAGAAGAAAGGTCATAAGTTCACCAAATCCAACACAGGATGCCTGTTGTGTTGGCATCCCTTGTTTTTGAGTCTGTTTATGTTTTCCGTATCTGCACTTGATAAGTATATCCTTTACCTTTTAGCGCTTTATTCTGCTTAACTGCTTTTTTTCTCTTAAGCTTTTCTTTGGTGTTGCTGCCATTCTAGTCTGGCAGTGTTGTGTAGAATTATAGGTTTCTTGTTGTCTTGCCGTCCTCCCGGTTCCAAATGTGGAATGTGTTTTCTGAGATGTACCATTGCGTCTTAATAGATATCAGAGTAGGGACCATGAGGTCTCGAGACCATGAGCTCTCTCGAAAACTGAGAGGAGCATAAAAGTTTGAGACACTGAGATCCTCACTGTTAACCGGTTTATAATTTTGTATCAAGACCTAAGAAGGTTTACATCTGAAAAAACAATTATGTCGTTGATGTGCTAAAGGATAATGTAAGTGTGTTGCGGAATCTGAGGAGTCCTTGCACCGAAAATTCTAGCAATGAAGGAGAATCTAGTTTTTGTTTACATTAATTATAGGTTAACACACTGTGTTTAACTTCCTACTATGCTATGACTAAACACTATTATCTAATTAGTGCAGTGTGTTCTCAGTGGTGCGGTAGTTAGTTGCTAGAGCAGTATTAGGATCAAAATACTCAATGTTCTGGAGCAGTCTTGCAAACGTTAGTTATTTGAGTTGAAAGTGACTGTTACCATTTCAAACTTTTACTGTGATTGGAATAGATTAAAGCCAAATGTTGAGATAACAATAATAATCATCATTGCATTTGATATAGCGCCTTATAACATCTTTGATACGTCTCAAAGCGCTTCACAGAATATGCTGTAAAGGGAATTGACTGTATATTTTGTGGGCGAAATGTGGCAGCCAATTGTGCACAGCAGTGTGCCACCGACAGTTGTGGATTGAGTGACCAATTTATTTATTTATTATTTTTGTTGAAGGAATTATTAGCCCAGGAAAAGCAATCCACCAATCGACTAACAACTGGGTTCCTACTTCCTGCTAGGTGAACAGAGGCGTGTGGAGTAAGGAAACTTGCCCAACGTTTCACCCTGCCCGGGAAGCGCTGGGAACCCAGGTCTCTCACTTGCGAGGCAAGTGCTCTAACCACTGAGCTACATTCATCCTGTCTTGCGAATGTCACTGAAAACAGTGATTCTTCTGATACATTAATGATCTCAGGTATACAAACAATGGGAAGCTTACCAATACTTTGTAGTGAGAAGTTGCACACCAACAACAACTTGCATTTATATAGGCCAGACAGTGTCTCGCCTATATACATAGCTGACACATTGCTTTAGCTTCTGCCGTACTGTGCTTGTGAGCTCTGGTTATATACATGTAGAATGACTTTTAACCTTCTCAAGTTAGGCAGACTAAGAGAAACATAATTCTGTTATAGTAGGTTTCTTAGTGGCTGAAAGACAAGACAGATGTAAGGTTTCTGTGCATTTCAGCCACTCGCTGACTGAAACCATAAACAGCACTTGTGCTGTGTTTGTGTTGCTTGTTAGTAGGCTGATTATCAGTTGTCAAAGGAATGTGTGGAGTGGGGGGGGAAACAGTGTGGAGCAATTATTTTTAAAAACATTTCCAGTAATGGAGTGTATCAGATTGAAATATGAAGAGCTCAACATCTTTTGCGCATTACCTGAACAATTTTGTATTGTGAAATCCGTGCAGCACTGAAATCGTCTATTTTTTATCTGCAGTTTGTGATATTTCATTGGATGTCTCAATATTCCTGGACCGTAATGTGTTGCCATGTATGACTGATAAATATCAGGAGAAAAAAAGACTTAAAGCTGCTTCCTTCCCTTGATATCAGATTTTTGATAAAGCCAGACGTCATTGAAGAAAAAGAAAAGAGGCTGAAATTGATGCCAAACAATGTGGTTGGGTTCTTGGGCCAAATGGAACTCATCTTAAATTGCGTGACAAGTCTGATTAAACTTAACTAACGGTCGACATTGTAGATTATTGTTTCCCATGTAATGTATCACGATTTCTAAGAATACATGGTCAGTGCTACCCATCTATCTATTAGTGCTATTATTACGTTGACTCACTTTCCTTTCTCCATAGATGCTGCCTGACCTGCTGAGTATTCCCAGCAACTTCTGTTTTTGTTTCAGATTTCCGGCATCTTCAGTATTTTGTGTTTTATCTGTTAGTGCGCTTTTAAGAAGAAAAAGCATGGAATGAGCAAAGCTAATCAGCCCATCAAGCCAATTCATTCCACACAATGCGGTTTAACATCCTTATCGTGCTCCTTATTTTATCTTGTGAGAAGTAGGTAATAGAAAATGTCTCTGCATCCTCAAAAGTAATTGAGCTAAACATCAGAGCATTTAGCAAACTTTGTAAACTCCTTTTTCAACCTACCTCTGAGTTGTTTTCCTTATACATGGCATCCTAAAGTTGTCCAATGGTGTGAACACAGGGTGGCTGCCCACAGAGTTGCCTGTTGTGCAGAAGATTCTCTGGGGAATGGTACCTCACCACTTATGGTGGATTAGAATTATAAAGTTACAGCACAGAACAACAAATTTCTTTTACACAGCGCTTTCATGTCAGGAGGACATCCCAAAAGACTGGACAATCGAGGATTTGCACCTGAGCTGGGGGTTGGATTTGGGAGGGGTGGGGGTGGCGTGAGAGAATGATTGAAGATGTGGTTAACGAGAGAGAGCTTGAGGCGGACCTTAAACCAGCCATTTGGCCCGTCAAGTCTGCACTGTGTTTTTCTCTAAATGAGCCTTTTTTTGACTGAATTAATCTTAATGTTTTCATTCTTTTGTTCTTCAAGATCACAAGAGAAGTTTGGATTAAAACAACCTTTAACCCTTTGCTCCCATCCTTCCAAAATACCTACCATATGGTCATCCCATCACAGTATTAAACTGTTCTTGAAATAAATTTAGTGTCCTGGCCTCAAACACCCTTTCTGGTAAGCCTGTTCTATTCATTGCACTCTGGGCAAAGAAATACTTTCCGACAACTCTCCTGAAATTGTCATGATGGAGTTTGATGACACAGAATTACAGAGAACTTTGCAGCATGGAAACAGGTCCTTTGGCCCAATTAGTCCATGTTAGTGTTTATACTCCACATTAACCTCAACCCTCCTAATCCGTCTCCCACATCACTCTACCTTATTCTCCCTCATGTAGACATCAAGTTTCCTTTTAAATATGTTGACTTTTTGCTTGAATTACAGTTTCAGCAGCCAATTCCACATTCTCACCAGCCTCTGCATAGAGAAGTTATTCCTAAACTTCCTTTTAGTTCTGTTATTAGCTACTTTATATTTATACCCTTTCATTTTGGAATTCCCAACAATTGGAAACAGCCAATTCATGTTTACCTTATTGAATCCTTTCATAATTTTAAACACCTCTATCTGTCAGATCCCCTCTCAATTGACTCATCTCCAGAGAGGAAAGATCTGACCTGTCCATTCTTTCTTGATCGCTGTGTCCACTCATGCTGGGAACGATCTACTCTGTATTCTCTTCAATGGTACAATATCCTTCCTGTAGTAGGGCGGCCAGAACCTCACACAGTACTCCAAATGTGGTCCAACCAAGGTTTTATATAAATGCAACATTACTTCCCTACTTTTGTACTCCATTCCTCTGCACACAAAGCCAAGGATTCTATTTTCATTCTTTATTGCCTTGTCTGTGCTGACACTTTGAGTCTAGTGAATCCAAAGTGTACTTTTATTATTTAATTAATGATGAAATAATGTGCATACAATTTGGATGTTAAACAATTGTTTACTTTATTATAGGTCCACATTCAATGATTATACTACTGCAAGATGCAATAATGGGAGCAACTAGTGATATCAGGGAATTAAGTATTGATCAATCACCTATGCCTGGGAGAGTAGCAGGCAGTTACAACAACAACTTGCATTTATATAGCACCCTTCACGCTTGGTAGAGTGAGGAGTCAGATGATCTTCATCTCATTGTACTTGACTGAGCTCTCCATTGTTATACCTGATTGGTATTCTAACACCCAATCCAATAGAATAGCACATATACTGCTGGAGGACACTTTTACCGGCAGAGTTCAAACTGCCAAGTGTCCAGGTGATCGATGCCAACTAAAACATTTTCTTCCAGTGTTCTCTCCACTTCTGCATATCAGAAGGTACGTTCCTGGTAAACAAAGCCAAGTCTGCGGTGTTTTTCTGCATCAATCCCCGTAGCTACCATTCTAAGTTAATGCTTTCCTTACAGAATACTTATACATCTTTTCTCTACCCCTCTTAGGTCGTATATACATGATATGGTCGGCTTCTTTATTCTTCCTGCCAAAGTGAATCACGTTGTATTTCTCTATATTAAACTTCAACTGCTACCTATCTCCCCATCTATTTAGGAAGCTTGAATTTTCCCTCTCTGTAAGGTGCTTACAAATTTTATTTCGCCTCATTCAATGATTATTGTGATTGTGAATTAATGTGCTCTGTGATTCAAATGTTTCTTTAATTCAAAAATCAGAATTATGTTATCGGTAGCATAAGGCAACTGATAAATTGTATTACAGGTGATTTGTTCTCTGTTCTCAGACTTTTATCAATGTGGCTTTCAGTGCTATCAATTGACTTGCCCTCTTGACTTTTCTGTATCTTTAGGGAGATGAACTGCACATTTCAATCTGTTTTGTGTGTGAGGCACACACTGGTATTCCCAATGCTGTCTTGGCTAGGAATGAAGGTGAAGGAGATCAAAATAAAATACCTTTTTTTAACCTTCAAAAGAAAAAGTATTAAATCCTCTCAAGATGCATACTTCATTTGCTTTTATACTCCAAAAGAAATCTTGGGTTTGAACTGGCTATGAATTAAACATAAAAAGTGTGTATTGTTTAGATAGATCAAAGAGCAGGTG